AGGAAGGAAGGAAGGAAGGAAGGAAGGAAGGAAGGAAGGAAGGAAGGAAGGAAGGGGGTGGAGGGAGGGAGGGAGGAAACGTTGGCTGCTGGGCAGGGCCCTTCTATCTGTCAATCACCAGAGAAATGGCACAGAATCACAGAGCCCCATCATGGGTGGGAGGGGCTGTCCTGCAGCGGGCCAATTGGAGCCCTGCAGGTCACCGGCCTCCCTCAGGCTCCTCCTCCAGGCGAATCAGAACGTTTGCCCAGGTGGTTCTGCTGGTTTCCCCCTCTGACCCCGTTTCTCACACCTCAGCATCAGGATGGCAGAAGGATGGAGACCATTGTAAGGATATGTCCTCACTGACCAGGAAGTGGACCATCTTAGAGTTGGGCAAAGGGACTATACGGATGGCCCCTGCCTTCTGATCTTGACCAATGGTGGTTGAGACCGTCCTGGCTCTGCAGCTCATCAGTGTCAGGGCCTTGATTTAGCCTTCTAGTCTGTCCTTCCTGGTGGCCGTCGCATCCCCTCGGATGGCAAATCTCCAGCACCACCAAAGGATTAAGGAAGCTCTAGTAGTGCACTCAGGGGAGGCTGCTGAGAAAAGCTCTCCCCAGGCAACATCTTAAGTGCAGGCACCGAGGACTGAGGTATGAGTGAATAAAACCAGTGGGTGAGCCTTCCTTGGACTAATAGCTCCTCCTACACCTGTTCAGTCATAACCCGAGTAAAACAAACAGTTTGGAATCACAAAGGGAGCTGAGTCACAAGCAGCACTTTCTCCTTTTCGTTTAAGCAACAGATGACTCAAAACTTCCAGTTTCCTGTGGCAGAATAATTGGTCCTGTTATTTCACTTAGACTTGTGCTAAATCAGGAAGGGCCAGTGGGTTTAAACATTTGCATCATGGCAGCTGAACAGCCCAGTGCCACTGCGCCCTTCTGAGACACCAGTGGCACAGCACCTCTGGCCCAGCTCTGGAGAGAGATAAAAGCCGAAAGGCAGCCGATAAGGCTAGCTAGGAGCCGTAGGTGAGTTGGTGTGCCCACATCAGCCTGAAACGGCCACTAAGGGCCGTTCTGATCTCGTCCACTACTAGTCACCTAATTTCATCTCCAGCACATTGAGTGGTGAACCCTAACAGTTTTACACACTTTGTGATTTATTTATTTATTTGTTTGTTTTATTTATTTGTAAATCATATTTATATGGCTACCCATCTCACAGAATGTGACTCTGGTGGCGTACAATAAAACCATAAAATAGCAATATTAAAACAGAATGCCATTAAATACACTGAGGTTATTATTAACATCTAATTCCTTAGCAGGCGGGACCCACAGCATACCTCTTCTGCTGGGTCTGATGGGACGGGCAGACATAATTGGGAAGAGGCGGTCCTCAAATACCGCAGTCCCATGCCATGAAGGGCTTTAAAGGTCAAAACCAGCACCTTGAATTGGACCTGGAAGCAAACTGGCAACCAATGCAGCTCACAGAGCAGAGTTATAAAGTGTGCCATTCCAGGGGTACACATAACTGCGCACACCACCACATTCTGCACCAGTTGAAGCTTTCAGATATTCTTCAAGGGCAGCCCCATGTAGAGTGCATTACAGTAGTCCACACGGGAGTTGACCAGGGCATCAGTGACCATGAGCAAATGTTGTTGGATGCTGTTGGCTTAAGAGGGAAAACACTACTTCAAGATTAAGGGCAACTTCGAGATTAAGGGCAACTAAGGGTGTCCTAAGCCTCCATTTCATGGGCTGGGAACAAAATAAAGGCAACATCATAGGGACATGACCAAAAAAAGATGTTGTTGGAGCATCATATTTCAAATGGTATAAAACGAGCATGGTTCAACTCTTGAAATATTTTAAATGAAAATATATTCTATTTCCTTCCCTTATAATGAAATTGAAGAGCTGTAATTAATTTTATCTACAATTCAAGCTGTTCTTAGGTTTAAGAGGATATGCTGCTGAATCTGTTTGTCCATTCTAAATGTCCCAAAGTTGTTGAATTAGGATTTCAAAAAATGACCTTTACCTGTAGTTGAACAGTTTGTGAACATCCTTACATTTTTTGACATTCTAATAACTGGAATCAACAATTGGAATACTGTATTCAAGAGGATTCCATATCGTTATAATAGCTCAGTCAATGTGATTAAGTGGACAACCTTAATTTTTTACAAATCTGGGAGACATTACAGAAGAAGACAGTGGCCAGAGGCATGGGTGTCCACAGCAATGTCCAAATGATGCACATATAACAATATTGTGACAAAAACCTACTTGTGTCCCGATGTCTTATGCAAGTCCATGAGTCATGGGGTTTGCATCATGGTGTTCAGAATACACGTTTTGTCCCTTGTCCCAAAGATGGCTGTTGAGAGAGGTAGGTGGCCACTGGGAGAGCCTTATCAAGATTAAAATTAACAATACTCACATATCTCTAGGGATTGAGGGTGAGAGGTGTATCTGTACATGCAACACAAATAATCCATTATAATGTGAGGCTGGTGTTGAACAAAATTTGGATGCTACTTTGAATCTATACAGCTGGGATGATGTGAACTAGGCTATGGCATTGTGATTACAGTACACTTGTGTTGGGCTGCTCCCAGTTTATTTCTGTCTCAGTCTGAAATACTGTTACGTTACATTACAATGTGTGTGGAGTGTAGGAGCTCCATGTTCTCTTGAAAAAGGTTTGATTGAAAAATGGATGTGGGTCTTAAATATAGAGATATAGAAACAGGGACCTACAAAATAAACTCACAAGGATGTAAAGGAGACTCTTCCACAAAGGAATTCCTTTGTGGCAAACTCAATTAGTACCCTGGATCCTGCAGTCTGTAATGTTGAAAATTAGCCTCTACTTAATTTAAATGCCAGCAGTGCTTAATGTTAGGAGGCTGCTCATATTTTAACTACTGCCTATGTGAGAAGAATAAGAAGAATGAGATTTGCTTCAACTCTAAGATCCCATCATCAAAGGATAATGGGCTATGATATCCTGAAAAACTGCATGTCTTCTAAGCAAGGTAATAATACATGGTCGTAGGAGCTCAGCATCAAAAGAAAGGGCTCCATATTTTCCTTTTCCATCTCTGTGCCCAGTTTTAATCCAACTCCACACCCATATCAGTAAGCTAGGGATAAAAATATTTTATGTTTAAATTTCCCTTTCTGTCAAATTTATAGTGACTTATATGTCAGATTGGGGTTTGCCATGACTGAAAATGCAGAGCAGTATTTTCTGAAATGGGTTTCATAAAACTAGTCTTTATGGAAGGGGGGCGGGTGATCTTAGAAGGAGAAGGAACATTAACTTCTGTGTTAGTCATGAAGTGTAAGAATAGGATACTTAGGAGTTGGGACAAGAAATGGATCTATTTTAATTTTGTTCCGGTCTGTGAATTCATTTTGCCCTAAAATCAACACTTTTCAAATTATAAATGGGAATTCTACTTATTTTCTCTGTTTTCCACTTCTTTCCATCACTCATGTGTATTGCACTGCAAAAAAAAGGACTGTGATATGACCATACGTACTGATTACATCAAGGTTTCTTGTTATGCGTGTTATTATTGATACTATCATTAATTATTTGATATGAGTAAAACAATAGGATCTGAACAAGAGAGGGCTAAGCTGCAATGTTGACGAACATGCTTGCCCTCAGTTTATTGACTGTGGTCGGTAAAGGGGAAAAAAACTTCCTTCACTTTCCTGTAATCATGTGAGAGAAACAATTTTCAGACATCATGTGTTCCAAACAAAGCTTGCATACAAAGCAATTCCTCTCTTAAAAGGGTTTACCTCGTTGCACTTTGAAAAGCATTTCTGTCCCTGAGGCAGGCCAAACCTGCAACAGTTCCTAAATTAAAATGCTAAACCAATCAAGGCCAACCCCACCAGTGTATATAAGCATTTGCTTTGAGGTCTGGTGCTAGAGGGCTGCACTCCCTGCTTTGCTTCTGTTGCACCTGCTCCCTCGGATCAACCATCCCAACTTGTCCCAATGACTCATCAGGTCTCGGCAGCAAGGAGTACCTTCCTCCGGGGAAGGGGGTTCAGCTCTGCCTCTGCTATCGGTGGACTAGGTGGACACAGAACCTATGTCGCCTCTGTATGCCATCCAGTTGGCAGTGGAGGTGGCCTCCATGGCTTCAGCAGTCAGAGCCTCTCGAATTTGGGTAGAAGAGGAAGAGTTGCGTGTGGTGGTTATGGACTTGGATATTATGGTGGCTATGACTATGGTTCTACAAGTCATGGTAGCTCAGTCTTGGGTGGCCCAGTGGGTCATTATAGTCCTAGAGTTTATGACTCAGTTGGAAGTTGTGGGATGTTTGCTGGACACTCGAATGGCAGGGGTGATGGCATCCAAGGAGTCAGAATCAATGAGAAGCTTCTGAAGCCATTGGATGTGGGAGTTGACCCTCAAGAACATATTATACGAAGTCATGAAAGGGAAGAGATGAAAAGCCTCAACAACCAGTTTGCCTCCTTCATCGATAAGGTGAGGAAAACAGTTTCTCCTTAACTTGAAGTAAAAAAAATTATAAAAAATGATACCCATGAGATACATTAACTGTTTTACCAGGTATTATTTGAGCTTTTAACATACATTTTCTTACTTCTTAGTATACATTCTTTAAAAATGTCTCTGAGTTGCCAGGTTTTTCCCTAATGCCCATTTTTACTAGATTGTTTGGCCATCCCATTAAAAGCAATATAATTTAAGGAACTCACAATTAATGTATTGAGCGCTTTGTTATTTAAATCAGAGAGCAGTTCTAAAATGGAGAGATCCATAGCAGAGGTTCTGTTGCTTCCTAAGTACTCTTGGCCTGTATGAGCTAGAGTAGAAAGTATGGTGCCGGGGGTCTTCTTTCGCGTTGCCCCCTCTTAAGAAGGCATTCAGTATGGCAGCTATAAGGCTGGAACAATTTCTTGTTCTGTCAGAGGAAGGATCAGGAAGTGAGGGTGTAGAGTCCTCATCCATGCAACACACAAACCAAACAACTGTACCCTTTTTGACCTACACCATTGCCAGCTTTTGGAAGCTGGTAGCGGGAAACCTCTACTACTATCCAACAATGTCCTCTGTGGGCTTCCATTTTTATTCTGTGGGGGATGTTACAAAATGGAACTGAAGCTAAGTGCTTAATTTTCAAAGTTGCCAATTAATAGTCTTGGCTCAGAATTATTCAATAAAGATTGATGTTGAAACACTAAGTGCTTTTTTTGAAACGTGAGTCTGCTGCATAAACCGAAACCTTGTGCCCATTCTTGATCAGTCTCCCATGTACTCCCAATCATGAATCTGTTCATTCCAAGTTCTACGTCATCCCGCCATTTAAAATAACGAAACACCATACTTCAAATATCCATTTGTTTTGTGCCCAACTTTCCATACCATACAATTTTGTATGCAACTTTCCTATGTATGTGTGCATATCTATCTATCTTCTATCTATCTATCTATCTATCTATCTATCTATCTATCTATCTATCATCTATCTATCATCCATCCATCCATCCATCCATCCATCCATCCATCCATCTACCCATCTATACATACATACACAGTTTCTCCAAATATATGCAGTTTTGCATACATTTTTGAGCCAGAAATATGACAGATATCAACAGACTCTTGAATTATATTTCTATTTGTGTAGCAAAGGATTTCATTAGGTTGCTAAGCTAGAGGAAACACAATGATGACTTCCTCTGGCATCTCTACTTTTATCAAATCTTTTCGACTTTTAATTTGGTTCTGTATTCTTTCTTTTTCCACTTGGAATTTTAATTTACTTTCATAGATGACTGTACTGAAAGGACTTACTTACCTTCTGGAAATGATTTGTTGTTTTCCAATGAAACTAATTCTAGTGTTCTGTACAGTGATGGTGACTGAAAAAGCAAATCAAGAGGGCAGAATATGTGCTCCTTTAGCATACTTTGGATTATTTTATGTTGTAATGAGTGTAGGTGCACATATTACATAATGCATTCTTGCCTAATATGATATATGCCAGATGTGTTAGATTCCAGCTGTTGGCCCAGCACACTTGCCAAGGACTATGAGTCCAATTTTTTATATTTCCTTATATTTTATATCTATTTATACAGCTGCCCATCTCACCAGTGCAGCTCTGGGAAGCTAACAAGAATTAAAACACAACACAAATGCAATATATATTTTTAAAAAATACTGTTCCCAACCAATTAGTACAAAGTGGCTCACAAAAACACCATTCCTCAATAGTGTGGGCTCAATTACTCTCCTGGCTCCTACGCTTGGGAAAATTAATATGGAGGACACCGATAATGAGAAAGGACAGGGATTTCGACCCATCTACAAGTCTTCTGTAGACACATTACAGGCAGATGCACAGAGACTCAGGTTTTCTAGAGCTGTTCATATGCTAGCGAAAGTATGTTTAGAATGTGCATTGTTATATGTGGTTCATATGCATTTTGCTGTAAATGTTCGTGCTACCTAGAATATCATTGGACTATGCAGTTCAATACGAATAAAGCTTGTATTTGTAGCTTGCTCAAAGAGACAGTGATGCCAGCAGCAACCAAGTGAACCACTATGATGCCAAAGTGATGACACATGAATGATGACTAGATCATTCAGATGCCGACATGAGGTCTTTGTATCCCAAAGTTTGATGCAAGTCACAGTACATGTATGATGAGATTGAGCACATGTATATTTGGGTCCCCCCTTCCCTCTCTGCAGATACCCAGTATGTCTCATTGTCTGCCTTGGAAATACATGTCCTAAAGCTCCAGAGCTTCAGAAGATTGGGCTCTGCCCCCAGAGATCTCCAGAAGTTGTTATGAAATTGTCATGTGTACTGTGACAAAAGTAGGAATTCATTAAACACATACACATATGACTGGCGAGGAATCATATCCATAATTAACTATATTTAATTTTAATGAAATTTAAATAGAATGAAATCAGACCAAGGTAAGTATCGGTTCAGAAATAAAGTTTGCTCTTGAATAGTTACCTAATTCATGATATTGTTGCATTTTGGTTTATTAAATAGGTTCAAAATCTAGAGCTACAGAACAAAGTCCTTGAGACCAAATGGAAACTTTTACAAGAACAGGTCATTCCAGCTAGGAAAAGCCTTGAACCATATTATGAGAACTTCATCAGCAACATGAGAAAGCAACTGGAGTGTTTATTATGTAACCAAGAGCATCTAACAAACGAAAATGCTGCCATTGAACATCTGGTGGAAGAATTCAAGTGCAAGTAATGTGATGATGATCAGGAGGAGGAGGAGGAGGAGGAGGAGGAGGGAGAGAATGTGGGAAGATGTACTCTGGGTCTCACAGACTCTTTAATGTTTTCAGCTGGGGGTACCCCTAGGCACTAACATGGGATTAGATAACTCATTTTGTTTAACACTTTGGAAGGATTGTAGCAATTGTCTTGATTGAGAGGAGACCAAGCTATGCAAGCTGAAAGATAAGTTCTTTCAACTTTTGCTTCCACTCCTTGTGAACTGGAGAGAGATAATATTTAAGAAATTTAAAAACAGAGTTAAAGCAAGGTCGAATTAATATAATGTAATGTAATGTACAGGAGATAATGTCCTGTAAGGTATTCCTTAAAAAAAAAAAACTTTTAGGAATTCTGAATAAGCTCAAAATTATGTTTACCACAGTCTTCAATTCTCAAGTATTATCTTTTGCAATACTTTCCTACTGTTTGATTATAAAGACTTTTAAACATGCCTCTTAGATGTATTTTTGTTCTCCAATCCAAAAGGAATTGCCTTTTAAAACTTTCCAGCACAATTTGGACACTGATTAAAATATCAGAAAATAGCTCTTCAATTATGATCAGCACTTACAAGCCTCATACACTCCTTCCAATTGTACTACTTTGCAAAGAAAGCTGCACTTCAGATGTGAAGCAGCTTTTAATAATTAACTAAATAAATATTTGTTGCTCTGTCTTTCTAAAGAATTCCTAATGGTACTTTAGGAATACCTAATGGTATTCAATGGTTTTTCCATGCCTCGCCAAAATGTGCGTAATTTTTCAGAAACATGGAAGCCAATCAAATAATATATCTAAATGTGATGTATAAATACATAAATAAATAATAAAATAATCACAAGGAGGGATAAATTACCTGGCTAGTGAGCAGTGTTCCATGGCATGGAATGGAATACTTTGGATCCTTTTACAAAACTAATAGAGTAACAAATATATTATGCATTTCGATCATTAGCATAAAAAAAAAGAGAATAGGAAGTAAAGCACATGAAAACTAATGAGCAGGAGCATTCAGAATATGTAAATAGCTGAAACAATTTGCTTCCTATCATTTTATGGGAAAAGCAGCCTTGATCCTTTTCGGGCTTGTTATGACTTACAGAGATTGTTTGGAATTGCACAGAGCTCTCATTCCATGTTTCCACAGATATGAGCAGGAATTCAAAAAGCGTACGGAAGCAGAAAATGAATTTGTGCTGCTCAAGAAGGTAAGACTTCTGGATTCCATGCTTTCAACACATAAACTAAACTATCTGGAGGTTGAGTCATGGCAACTGGACTTCTTTTCTTTTTAGTTAGAGACGTTTAGCCACTTGTCCAAGCAGCTTCTTCAGTCTAAAGAAGTTGGT